AGAACTGCTTTCCTTCACAGCTTACTGCATTCAGCTGGGTTAGTGGGGTTAGTTAAGCTGCTTTTACTGGGAAGTCAAAACACAAATGTACTGGAGAACATCATGTATAAACTAATTGATTTCCACATTTTATTGACATCCATACTTGCCAATAACTGATTGCTATTACAGAAACAGAGACCATAGCAGAATAAACTGCTTTTGTTTCCCTGTTTCTTTAACCCAGCAACATAACTTAAGTCAAATGTATTATACTGTAGTTATGGCTTACACATTCTTGGAGATTGTGCCCAAGGTGCCCTATAATACTCATTAGATTCAGCAGTAAACATAGCACAGGGTTTGAAGTGCACTTTAAACGAATCAATTTAAGGCTTATGAGCACTGAAATTAAAACCAATTAAATAAAACATCATAGATCACTCTGAATTGAAATATTTAGTATCTTTTTCTTTGCAGAAAAGTTTACCAGCAAAACATAACATCTCATTGTCAGTGGGACTCATCAAATAGACAGTGGTAGATCATTATCTACACTAAAGTGTCATCGTGCTCAATTCACTTATGATTCCACTTGGATAATTTCTTCACTGTTGACAAAAATCCCACATAGCCATTTTCTAATCAAATCCATCCATTTACTGTACTCAACGCCTAGTTCAGCACATTCAGTATTGGCTACTTTTTAGAGATCAGGTGGTAAAATGATTCCATCTAATTTCCAAGGAAATCCAAGGGGGGAAACAACCAAAAAATAATGGGATGGTTAAAAAACAAACAAACAAACAAAAAAACAAGTCTTTAAGTCTGTCAATACTTAGTTGCAAAATTGGGAATGAGATGATGGATCATTCATTTATAGCAAAAATTTTTAAATCACTCCTTGCTTTACTTTGAGATTATACAAATGGACTTCGAGGGGGCCATGAATGCCTTGAGTTGTGAACAAAATTATCTGCATCTGTTTATTTTTAGGTAGAAGGCATACATTTTTTATTGGAATTTCCAAATCATTCTTGATCCCTCAAATATTAAAGTCATATATGTAGAAAAAAGTTTGGGTAGCTTCAAATGATACTCAAAATAGGCAGAAATACATTAAAAAACAACAACAGTTGACTTTGGGATATAGCTAATTCTCTAATCCCATCTAAAGCTAAATAAGCATTGGATTAATTTTTAAATGTTTATCACAAAAGTAATTTATATTTGTCTTTAATCATTTTCTAAGTTTTTTATTCAAAAGTTTTAATATCTAACATTTAAGTAAATAACATCCTATATAATAAAGAGCTAATATGCTAATTAGACCAAACAGCCAAACGACCTTCTGGACAAAGCCGGGACTCTTAGGGCCAGCTGAGGCAGCCAGGACTTCGAGGGTCAAGCCACTTGCACAAATTTCATGCATTGGGCCTCTAGTTTCAAATAAAAAGGCACAGCAACATTAAAACATTTTAACTCAGAAAGAATAACCAACTTCAGCCAGACAGATTTCCATGAAAAGCTGAAGGTAACATGATGGTCTAATAAGTTCAAGGGATGATCCCACTATAGAAAATGAGAGCAAAGAGTCAACTGAAGCCAGGATAGCAAGAATTCATAACAAGCATGATTTTCCTTTCAAAAGAACTCTGAGCTGACTTGTCAGAGGAAATTCTTGCTTTCAGTTCCTTTGTAATACCCTCATTCAAGAATATATTCATTACAGTGGAGCTGTCATGTTCCTCAAATTTCTAAAGTTACCATGTCTTCTAACAAGGTAGATAATTAACATTTTTACTCTCTGACAAAAAAAAAATTCTAGTCATATAAGGGACACTATTTATAGTGTATAGAGGGAGAAACAGGGAAACAAAATGTTTAGAAATAAAGCTGATTGATAGTTATATAAATTGAAATTTTCTTCTGTTAGCTTATCATTTAGTCATAATAAATTAGATTTTACCTCCATAGCTATCTATATGATCATTTTTTCTATATTTTAGTATAGAATCATAATAAATTCTTGGAGTGGGGCCCACACATAAACAACAGAATCATGTATTTTAGTATCTTGTTAAAAACAAATTTATAAAACAACCCACCCAGTAGTCAAAATTTTTGGCCAAAAAGTAAAGAAATAAATGTGTTTATTTACTTATTTTTCATTTACTGACTTCATTTTTTATTTTATGAGGACATTTTCATGTCCTCATATATAGTTACTAATTTGTAGCTGTTAATTTGACTCTGACATCCCTGGTAACTAAAAGAAGGCAAATGAAATCAATTACATGATACAGTACATTGTATATAAAAAGAGAACACACCACTTACCTCCTTTAAATGAGTAGGAGAGGTGTGAGAGTTCAATTCATGAAATTAATATTGAAAGAAATGTTTTTTGGAGGAATATCATTAAGAACTAGAAAGTCATGCGTTCAGCAAGTCTTTACTAACAATCTTGTAGTTTTTATAAGCTGAGGTTATTTTACATAGAATATTTGTGTATAAGCTGAAAGTGTAATGCACAGCATAGTAAAGGCAATTCTGTCTGGGGGAGGTCGAGACAATGCCACCCACATATTTATCTTTCTAATAACTTTGATTGCTCCGAAAATAAATAATGGACTATCCAGGAGTATAGGTTAACTACATGTTCTTTAGAAGAGCATTCAAATATTTCATATCTTTCAACAACTTTTTTCTTTTTAAAAAATATCTTTTTAATTGATTTTTTACAGAGAGAGAGGAAAGGAGAGGAATAGAGAGATGGAAACATCAATGACAGAAAAACATCCATCGGCTGCCTCCTGCACGCCATTCTCTATTTCCATGCTATGATCTGCAATAACCCATTGACTTTTCAAGCCCAGCTTAAGGAAGCAGGACTAAGTTACATGATTCCACTGTTGATGTATGGGCCCCACTCCAAGAGTTTATTATGATTGGAGACCCAGTAGGGGATCGAGCCTGCAACCCGGTCATGTACCCTGACTGGGACTTCTTGGTTCATGGATCCATGCTCAATCACTGAGCCACACTGGCTGGACCCTTTCAACAACTTTTACTGGCAGCAGACATTGGTAAGAATTTAAAATACAGGTGTTCTGGGTTGTATTCTATTCTTCATTACTGTTCTTCATAACTTCTTTTGCAATAGAGATTAAAATATAAATTACTAATCTCCGTGCTTCTATAGAACTTTGTAGAAATTGTCAAGTTGTTGTGCAATGTATCTCATCAAGGGCAAATACCAAATTTCATCTATCTTTGTATCCCAGCATCTAGCAAAGAAAGTGGAACATAATGGATTTTTAAATCCATTACGCTTTCCTGAATAAGCCACTTTGCAGACTTCTCTGAGTATCACCCTTGTTCATATAGTTTGAAAAGGGTCAAGGTCATGCACCCACTAAGACCAAGAAACGTAATTTATAGTCAAAACTTTCCTTTGGCATCAATTCAAAATCATTAACTAAAAGCATTTCATCAACTGATGGAGGTGTGGATTTTTTTAAATACCAGAAAACCGTCCAGAGGAACCTTCAAAATATAATAGTCAGATCAGCGTTCACTCAAATGATCTATGAAACAATAGCTATATCCCACTTTCTAAACTTGGTGAGGATTATATTTGTAACATCTCTCTATATATGTAAATTATATTTGACACAGATTTTTAAAATCAGTGTCATGAGCATTTACTATGGAGCCATATTTAAAGTCATAAATTACAAGTCAAGGTCTCCAATCATAATAAATTCTATATGCCCATACATCAACAGCAGAATCATGTAACTTAGTCCTGCTTCCTTGAGCTGGGTTTGAAAAGAGAATGGGTGATTGAAAATCATAGTATGGAAATAGAGAGTGGAGTAAACTATAGTCTGCGTCCAGACATTGTCAAAGTCAAAATCAATCAAATTCATAAAGTTTGTTGTTAATATTGTACAAAATGGTTAACCCCTGCATTTACATGAATAGACTATTCTTGCAACAGTCTGGAAACATATATAGAATAACAGAGGGAAGAAAATGACCTCTTTTCCTGTACTCTATAAGTGACTGCATTTCCAGAACATGGTATCTCTAGCACCTTGCTACTTGAAGCATGGCTCTGAGACTAGCAACGTCCAGCATCCCCTGGGATATTGTTCAAAATGCAGAACCTGAGACCCAACTTCACATTTGCTGAATGAGGACGTGCATTTTAGCAACATCCCCAGGGGATTCATATGCACATTAAATTTCAAGAGGCACTGCTTTAGCACTTAGTACCAACAAAAAAATATGGATTTAGTGAGCTTTAAAAAAAGTCAAAATCATAGCTATGATAATGTTACTGGAAGAAGATACTCCTATTTTTTGCCTTTGGTGGGCAGTTAATTCACCTATATTATAGGATGTTTACTAGCTTTAAATGAAAAAGAATAACCTTTTTGTTTTTAGTGAAGTATTTTATGAACTCCCAGTTGTACATTGCCCATATTTTGCAAGACCCTAGAATTTTTTAAATTAGTAAACACTCCAAATGACCACAAAGTTTGTCTTCACTTTATTATTAAACTATAACACACCTTTACATTATGCTTTATTTTTACATGAACGATGACCCAATTCTGTATTTATATTTTCCCCAAACGCTGACAATATAATTACTCATAAGGTCAATAATTAATGTTTAGGAAATCTACAGGTGCTCACAACTTGTAGGTTCTGGATATATTATCCAAACATGAATAGAATTGGAATGTTCTAGCTGAGTCTGGAGAACGACAAGACCCCCTAAGTAAGAATGAGATGAGAGATTTTTGTTGTTTTTGTTTTGCTTTGCTTTCAATGTGGTTTGGGCTTGGATTCTTTAACACTGTTTAGAAACGTGCCTCAAAACCACATCGGAGTTTTATCAGAGCTTCCCTCGCTGGGAATCTTCTTATGTGGGAGCTAGGTTTTACTACGCAATGCTTCAGCACTACGGACAGCGCCTAGGCACTTCGAAGAAAGGGAGGGGATCCGGTTGGGTTTGCGTAGTGGAGAAAACGGGGAGCAGGGGAAAATAACCCCAAATGCCGCATGCAGTCCCCAGTTAAAGCTTTCACTCGCGTCTTTCCCGTATTGGAGGAGAAGAAAGACGTAAGAATCTAGAGCCCTCACAAACACACACTCGCGGGCGCGCAGCGAATATTAACACACTGCTACATCCAAGAAATCCATGCACATTCTCCTGCAAAACACACCCGCGCGCGCACACACAAGTACTTCGCGGGCGCCCGCGGCTTCTGCCTCTCGCTGACAGATACATTTTCACAGGTAGGCCAGGAAAGCGCTAACCCCGGTCCTGTGACTCCACGCAGGTTCCCAGGACATGCCTCTTACATTACTACTGAACTGATCCGCGACCACAGACAAACCTGCCAGCACTTAAGTCTACTCGCTGGATTTCATCTCCATGGCAACAAGCATGGAAGGTGAGACAACCCTGGCCAAGAAGTAACTTTCTCCCCCTACCCACCGCATTAGCTGAAGGATTCCAGTGCAGGTCCAGATGAGAAGCATGTCCTCATTCTCTTGTATTTCTGAAGCTAGGAAGAGGGAAAGGAGGTGGGGGAAAGGAGCCTGCAGGTCTGGTGAGTTCGAATTCTAAAGGAGGAAGAGCACTAATGTTTCTGCTGCTGCTGCTGTTGCTGCCAAAAAGAAAAAGCAACACGAAACAAAAGAGCATGTATGTGTGCAGTTTGCTGATGCTTCTCTCATGTTTTGTAGATTTCTGTGCTTCTCCAGTCTAATATGTCCAAAGAGAACTGGAGACAAACAAGGCAGAATGATAATGATAGTCTAGGTTTCTCTAGTGAGACATTTTGAGAATTTTCAGACAAGGTTTTCAGTGCTTTGAAAGGAACGAATATCAGAGTCCTTGAGGAATCATCCAAAGATTCTCTTATGAAGGGAATTCTCTTAAGGTTGAAATCTGAAAGGGGGAGGTGGGGTTCTGGCAGATCCCAAGGTTTTGGATCCCTGGGAAGGCCTGAAATTTATGCACTTCATCATGATGAAGACATCTGGGTTTGTAATTTAAGGTTTTCCTTTGATTACAACATATGCCATTCCTAATGATTAACTAGCTCTGTGCAGATGTGGCCTCAATAATGTTTCATTTTACCTCTTTAGCTTTAATGGGATTTAATAACCTTGATATATAAGGGGGGGGGCGGGCTGTACGTATGTGTATGAGAGGATTCATTATTTTTTAAGCTTGGGTTTTCTTATATTTCTCATTTCATGAAACTGTGAATGTTCATATTATTACCATTAGAGATTATCATATCTAATGACCAATAGCAAAATACTTTTCACCCAGAAACATCATATTCCACTATAATAGCTGTTATTTCAGATATACTGTTTGGAATATCAATAATAGATAAATAAATGGGGGGAAACCTGTTGATTAAAATAAAATACAGGAGATTCTTTATTTTTAATGGGCACATACTTTTCAATATTGGTTCTGCAAGTGCACATGCTGCATGCAAATTAAATAACTGCCTGTTTCTGAAAAATACATTTTATACCTCCAATCAGTAAACTAATTTCATAGAAGAAATAAACATCACACATAACAATCATGTTTATAAAATGCTATATATCAGGTATAAAAATACTGTTATCTTTGTTTAACTACTAAAGATGGTATGATTTGTAAGACTTAACATAGAAATATTTTATTTATTGATTAATAACTACAAAGCAACTCAGTGAGATTTGGGCCTTTTGATATCTACAGGTATACCCTTGGCCCAATCCTATGACTTGTCAGGATTTAGAGATTGCAGTTTCTGACAATTTCCATGAAGGAAATGATGTTTTCAACTCAGTTGTTCATTTCTAAAGGCGCCTAAATACTTATTCCAGTGAATATGGCTTGAGGCAATATTTTATCATTTGCAGTAGTACTATGAAATTGTACTTAAATACTTCAATCACAATACAGATAGACCCTGATATTTAAATTGTACAATGTTGATAATTTTACCCATTTTTGTTGTTGTTGCGCAGCATCTTTAAAACAACTTTGCCACACGATTTTACATTCTACACCCTTTTGGAAATTTTATTTCTTAACTATTTTTTTTCTCATAAGAATTTATTCATGGCTTTGTGATTTCATGGTCTAAATTTTTGTCATTTTGCATTCAGGTACTATTTCCCAGTAAACCAGATTCCTTTTGAGGTAGGCCTTAAAATGACTGTTATGCAGCAGGAAGAACATGCTGATTTATTTTTATTTGCTTCCCAATCTCTTCCAGGGATTAGAGAAACTGAAACTATAGTGTTTATCCAGAGTTGTTGAGTAACTTATTAATTATGAAGAAATCCATGTTGTAACTGAAGACTTCTATTTATTTTAACAATATCTAGTTATTAACATTGCTTTTATGTCATATTATTCTCTATACCAATAGAAATGTGCAAAGCTCAGCCCCAGCTGGTTTTTCTCAGTGGTTAGAGCATCGGCCTGCAGACTGAAGGGTCCCGGGTTTGATTCCAGTCAAGGGCACATGCCCAGGTTGCAGGCTCAATCCCCATTAGAGGGGCGTACAGGAGGCAGCCAATCAATGATTCTTTCTCATCATTGGTGTTTCCGTCTCTTTCTCCTTCTCCCTTTCTCTCTGAAATAAATAAAAATATATTTCAAAAAAAGAAACGTGCAAAGCTCAGCATACTTAGCAGTATATTCTCAAACACTTTAAGACTTGGTGTTGAAATGGCAAATTGTTCATTTCACAGAGCAAGAAAAATGGAAAGTTTGGGTAAATATTTGAAAAATTAAGGCCTGAAAATAGTACTATTTCAACTACTATGTATATGGCTTACATTACCAAGACCATCTATTTGTTGAAGATATTGTTAGGCAATTGCTTAACATTTTACTTATTTGCTTGTGTAGACACAACCTAGAGCAATGGCCAGACTTTCTTTCACCTTGAATACTACGCTCTGTTATTCTCTTTGACCGGTGTTTTGTTTTCATTTTTAATAAAAGGTAGAATTTTAGGACTAATATAAAAGTCTAAGTTCTTCCTTTTAAGATATTTACCAAACATCTGTCTTTCTCATCCCAACATTTTTATTAAAAATGGGAATGTCATAGTTCTTTTGAACCCCAAGTGAATTTACTCAGTTCTATTTTTTAAAACTGAATATATAATCATATCCTTATTCTTGAAAGTACTTAGTCTGATGATCTCAGCTTCTGCACTTTTAACTTTTGTACAAATAAAATTTCGCTTCTGTCAAGCTTCCTTTAGGGCCTGACTCCATTTTCTCTTTACCCATCACTTCAAAAACCTCTTCAGTTTAGTGTTCCTCCTGGACATTCAACTGAACATTTTAAATGATGAAAAAATTCTGAATGGCAATGTCCTATTTTTCAGTTCCCATTACCACTACAGATTTTGACACAGTTTGCCCACACCTTATAGACACTCTAGCCTCCTTTGTTCCAGGGGAACTTCCTACTACAGATTTACTTGTGTTTCTGATCACTCCATATATGACTCCACAAACAGATTTAATTTTCTCCTCATAAAAGAAATGTTTGTTGAGGCTCCTTCCTAAGCTTCTTTCATCTTCAATCTTTCTAGTACCTGCAAATAGAACTTTAAAGGAATTACAACAAAATTGCCTTCTGGATCAATCTAGAACAAGTAGATCCCAGAGGATCACACTTCAAATATTTGAATACAGCTATCATCTTTCTCTTCCTAGGCAAAACTCTGCAGTTCTTTCCATCTCTTAAATTTTGATTTGTGAAGTTTTTGATGCTTCTATGTATTTGACTCTCTCCACCCAGGATGCATTCTTTTACACAAACTTTACTTGACAATAAGGCCCTTAAGATGTTCTCCCCACTGGCAATTTTATGCTGGACAAAATTTGCCTGGATTAATTTATTCAAAACTGCCTATTAAAATGTCTACGCTGTGCCACTAATTCACTAAGTCCAGAACAAAACTCTTCATTTACTTTCTAAATTTACACTTTGCTCATATTTTCTTTATTTTGGTTAATGAAAACACTGTCTCCTAATATATGGTGACAGGAGAAGATTTGACTTTGGTTGGTGAGCAATATGCAGATCTTGTAACATAGAAACCCACACCTGAAATCTATATGTTCATGTTGACCAATGTCACCCCAATCAATTTATTTTTTAAAAAATGAAAACACTGTATTTCAAGCGTCCAGCCTTAGTAAAATGGAATCACCTTTGATGCCTCTCTTTTCATGGCCCACTATACTAGTTGCCTAATCCTATCCCTCATGTATTTATAAATATCTTTCAAGCTCATACCCTCTTCCACACATTTACTTCCTAGTCCAGGCCCTCATTGCTTCTTACTTGGACCATTTCTTTTCCACGATGCTTCCACTCTGAAATCTATGTCTACTTCAGTGTCATCATCAAGCTCTTGGCCTTTAGGCAAATAAATTACAAACTCAGCCTGACAGTTAAGATATTTCACATTTTGGTGTCAACTTACCTTTCCAGCGGTCTGTTCCAATACTCTCCTTTGCTTGGGTCAACTTGCTCACTATCCTCTGAAAAAAATTTAGTACTTCTCTGCCTTCATATTTATTGTCATGCTGTTTCCTTCTCCACATATCTAAATCTTCTGAGTTTTAAAGACTCCGCTCAAATACAATCTCTTACAAGGAAACCTTTCCTGGTCCCTAAATGGGTGAAATTTCTATTCCTCCTTAAATGTGTTTATCCTCTTTGAATCCCTTTTTTCATCAAGATGTTAAGGATAATATCAACCCTGAATTGCTGTTATGGAAATACAGCATATGTTAAATAAAGGTTTGTTTTCTTTGTAGAAGCCTACATTGTTTTAGTCTTGTTTGTGCATGGATCTCTTTCCTTACAAGTTGGAATCTCTTTGAGTAGAGAGGTCCATGTCTACTAGAACATAGTAGCAAATCAAAAAATATTCTTGTGTGGTATTTTTATGATTTTTTAAAAATCAAATAAAAGTTTTTTTGTTCATTTTATTTTGACTAAATATGTTTTCGGGTTCTGGATGTTTCAAACTTAGATATCTTTAAGCCACCACTTTATTCATCAAAAATTATATTTTCATCCAGCCAGTGCAGTCAGTGGTTGAGCACCAACCTATGAACCAGAAGATCACAATTCAATTCCCAGTCAGGGCACATGCTCGGGTTTCGGGCTTGATCCCCTGTGTGGGGTGTGCAGGAGGCAGCCAATCAATGATTCTCTCTTGTCATTGATGTTTCTATTTCTCTCTCTCTCCCTTCTTCTCTGAAATCAGTAAAAATCTGTATTTTTTAAATTATATTTTAATACATTTAGTTTAATTCAATTTAAGTATTTATTGAGTACCTACAATATGCCAAGAACTATGGCCACTACTTAAGTAGTAGTTATTTTTCCATTTAAAATGATAAGTAACTCAATTCACAGACTGTCTAAGATTCTAAGCACAAAGTATATCTGATATATGTTAGACAAATTATAATATAAAATATAAGGAGTTTTGTATCTTTAATAAGAAGATACCTTGTTTTATTTATTTTTTTTAAAATTACCATTCATCTTTAACATTATTTTGCATTAGTTTCAAATATACATCATAGTGGTTAGACTATCATATGCTTTACAAAGTGTTCCCCCTGATTTTTTCAGTACCCACCTGGCACCATTCATAGTTATTACAATATGATTGACTATATTCCCTATGCTGTATTTGACATCCCCTTGACTATTTTGTAACTATTTGTAGAAAGTTACCTTGTTTTAATCAGTAGTGACAAATGAGTTGAGTGTTTTATTGCTACCGCTAGAAAACACCTTTGTTTGTTTATTTCGTCAGTTGGTGGCTTTTAGTAAGAATAGCAGAGTCTAGTGGATTAATCACTGGCTAAGAGCCAACTTAACAGGACTTAATTCTTCTAATGATCAGCTGTGACCCTGCTTCTCTGTCTACATTATGATTTGATTAACTGATTCTAAAGGTAATTAATTTACTTAACATTAAGACATCAAATGGGAAAATTGTTTTGCTTCAATTCAGCATACACTTTTATTTTTGTTTTGTTTTTACCAACCCTTCTGTTGTAGTTTCAGAATCTCAGTATAGTAGAAGCTTAGGTGTGGGATCTGGTTGGGAGGGGACTGAGGAGCTTGCCTTGAAGCTGCATGTTCACAGGAAACACGCTGTTTAATTTGAATTTTGTGTTTATTTAGGGTGTTCGGAAAGCTAATGGAGATCGTGGAAAGATGGCTAATAGTCCACAGTTACTGCTGCTTGTTGCTGGCAAGCTGCTATGTTGGATACTGCACTTATAAACAAAATTTTAAAAATACAATTTCTCTCTTTAACAAATTGAGATTTAGTGTGTGAAGTAGTTGTAGAAAAGAAAATACATGAACATAAGTCTAAAAGCTAAGGAGGGAAAAGGAGAGAAGACATTAAAAGGATCAGAATCACCTGGCCGGTGTGGCTCAGTGGTTGAGCGTTGACCTATGAACCAGGAGATCATGGTTTGATTCCCAGTCAGGGCACGATCCCCAGTAGGGGGAATGCAGGAGGAAGCTGATCAATGATTCTCCCTCATCACTGATGTTTCTTTTTATCTTTCTCTTCCTCTTTCTGAAGTCAATTTAAAAAAAAAAAAGATCAGAATCTGTATCAGACAAAATGGTATTAGAGATAGGCCTTGTAACATGGACCTTAGAGAATTTGACCAGCTCACACTCTATGTAATTATATGTGGTTGTATATACACATGCAAAAAAATAGATGACAATCTGGGTCAAAGAAGCAGTGACTTTACCTCACAACGCTTTTGATTAAAAGCTTTTAAGATTAATTATTTGAATATTTACCTTCATACTTGATTTTTAAAAAATGTTTTTACTGATTTTAGAGAGTAATGAAAAGGGAGGGAGGAAGAGAGAGAGAGAGAGAGAGAGAGAGAGAGAGAGAGAGGAAGAGGAGAGGAGAGGAGAGGAGAGAAGAAGAGAAGAGAAGAGAAGAGAGAAGAGAAGAGAAGAGAAGAGAAGAGAAGAGAAGAGAAGAGAAGAGAAGAGAAGAGAAGAGAAGAGAAACATGGATGGGTTGCTTCCTGCATGCCTCCTACTGGATGAAGCCCATACTCCAGGCATATGCCCTGACCGGGAATCGAACCAGCGACCCTTTGGAGCCAGCTAGGGCCATATTTGGTTTTATATTGAGAATATAGAGCTACAGTTTTATGTGTCCACAAAGGCAGCTCTGTAATTGCTACAATAGAAATAGCATCTCCAATGCTAATTTGATCTTGATTCACATCTAATGATGTTTTCAAACGTCTTGTGAGTTAAGTCAAGAGGGCTTGAAAAATGCCAGATTTTATAAAACAATTGCCTGCTCAATATCACACATTGATAAAACTAAACTGATTTCAATTTTGTATCTAGGCCAAGAGGTGACTCCAGCTGGAATTCTCAAGAGCCACAAGGATGTGACAGTGAATAATGAGTAGTTCCTACTGTGGCAACTCTTCAGCTAAGATGAGTGTCAACGAAGTATCAGCTTTCTCATTGACTTTGGAGCAAAAAACTGGCTTTGCTTTTGTTGGGATTTTGTGTATTTTCTTGGGACTTCTTATTATCAGATGCTTCAAAATCCTGTTAGACCCGTATAGTAGCATGCCTTCCTCTACATGGGAAGATGAAGTTGAAGAGTTTGATAAAGGGACATTTGAATATGCACTTGCATGACAGTTCCAGCTTTGTGGTTTTTAGTGTTGTGCTCTTGGGACTCGTGGTGAATACAATTGTAATTACCTTGAGTGTGCTGCTGGAGAGAGGCTCATTTCAGTCACTAAATTCAATAAACATGTGTGGGTAATTTATCTACCTTGCTGTGTGAATGATAAACCATCGTTGGATTTCCTCACTTTCTTCTATCCCCTAATATTGAGGTGTCTATGGAATAGAGTAGAAGGATCCTTCAACCATATATACCATCTTTATTCTTATCTCAAACATCAGCCTTAAATCCCTGCTTCCTTTTTGTGCTAATGAACTCGGCTTCCTGCTTCTGCCCCTCTGCAATGCCACGACACCCCTCCACATTCCCAACTCCAGCCCACTTCACATTAGAGAATCAGGTGTCTTAAACATAAGGGACCCTCGATCCAAAGGATAAATCGAATATGATTTTCCTAGTAATAGCCATTGGTCAAAAATATTCACAGATGAAAAAAACTTTCACAAAACTAATACACAAACCTAAAAATAGCCACAGGCCCTGAAGATCCCCAATTATCACAGTGTCCTGACCCTTCTAATTATTCTCCTACTAGAATCTCTTACAATAAAACCCCTTAGCTTGAGATCTAAACCAGACCTGCTTCAAACTGCTACTTCCTCCTCCTCCTCTCCCTTTTTAAATTAAATTTATTGGGGTGACATTGGCTAATGCAATTATATAGATTTCAAGTGTGCAATTTTAGGATTCATGTGTTGTGCCGAGCCAGCTCAGCCAAGGTTCACAAGCCTGAGTGAGAACAGCGAATGGATGAAGAAATGACAGACAAAGAGAATACGCTGGGTCTAGGACCTAAACTCTAGGTGGATCTTCATGTGCCTGGCTCAGGCCTCAGAGAGAGATCCAGAGGCAAGCTGAGCTTTTATTTTATAGCCAGAGGTAAACAAGGTAGTGTTTTCCATAGTTACAATGTTCTTGTGAGTTTCACTTGTTTTGGCAGCACTTGCTGCATCTCCCTCAGCCCATTAGCTTCCCAGATAAGATCTAGGGAGCGTCATAAGGTCAAGCCTAATTATGCTGAGAGGACTGTGCCCTCTAAGCTGGGACTTGTTTGTGGCTTTGCCAAAAGGTCAGTCTGAGGCTTAACCGTATAGCCGCTTCCTACAATGTGTGCCCAACACCCAAAGTCAAATCTCCTTCCATCACCATATACTTTACCCCCTCTACTCTTCACTTCCTCCCCACCTTCTTTTCTCACTGGTAACCACTGTACTGTTGTCTGTGTCTATGAGTTTTTGTTTGTTTGTCTTGTTTGTTCATTGTTACTTTCAGTTTATATCCCCCATATGAGGGAAATCGTATGGTGCTTGACTTCTTCTGTCTGATTTATTTCTCTTAGCATGATATGGTACATATAGATCATGGAATACTACAGTCCTAAGGAAAGATGAAATACTGCCTTTTGGGGCAACATGGATGGATCTTGAGAATATCCTTCTCTCCTTTTATCAACAGCACAAAAAAGGGAGTTTCCAGCATGACCTAGTGGAAAGAGCGCTTGTTCAGGAACAAGCAGTCCAGTCTCCGCCCTGCCACCACTTCAGCTGTGCGAGCGGCTAAATCATCTAATCTCAGTGGACTTTAGTGAGGAGGCTAACTAGAGGATGCTTAATGTCCCTTTCAATCCCAATGTACTATGAACTCTACAAACATGTCTGGCAACCCAGACATCTGAGATGAATGAGGACTTAAGATGTCATGAAAAAATTTTTAGTTTAGGAGCTTAAACTCAGATATATCATTTCTAATATTGGCCCACCCAAAAACAAGCTTTATGACCTAGATATTTACCTAAAGCAGACTTCTTTTCAACATCTGCATAACAAGGATAAAAAAAACCCATTCTGTATGTCTTGAAGGAATGCTGAGAGGACTAAGTGACATGATGAATGTGAAAGGAATTTGAGAACCATAAAACTCAGTTTAAACATACCTTTCTATCATTATTTATTATCCTCACTGGTCATACATAGTAATACAGCCTCCCAAACCTTAAAAAGCAATGGTTTAGTATAAATTATTCAAACTCTCCAGTCTCCATTCTCTTCATTTGATAAGTGAAAAGATAGAATTCTATAATTCCAAAATCTTTTCCAAGTATAAAATTCTGACTCTCCATAATCAATGAATGGAGGAATAGCAGGAGATAAATAAATACAAAAATATTTGTATCACTTGAGAATATAACACTGCCAAACATACCAAAAAAAGAATGACTTATAGCCCTAGCTGGTTTGGCTCAGTGGATAGAGTGTCAGCCTGTGGACTCAAGGGTCCTGGGTTCAACTCCAGTCAAGGGCACGTGCCCAGGTTGCGGGCTCAATCCCCAGTGGGGGGTGTGCAGGAGGCAGCCGATTAATGATTCTCTCTCATCAATGATATTTATATCTCTCTTTCCCTCTCCCTCTCTGAAGTCAATAAAAATATATTTTTTTAAAAAAGAGTGACTTATATTTACTGAGTTAACAATAAATTAGGTGTTTTCCATTTATTATGTGATTTGATACTTTTATCAATCCTTTGAGTTCAGTATTACTATTTTCACTTTATTATCTCAATTTTACGATTAAGAAACTGAAGTTGAGAGAGACTAACTTCCCAAGATCACCAAGCTAGAGAAGGGCTGTGTTAGAAATTGAACTTGGGCAATCTAATGTCAGAGTCCTTGTTTGGAAACACTCTGCTGCACTCCAACATTGTCCTCATATTTCTACAGATCTTACAAAGACGGTTACTGCTCAGGTCTATGGCCAAGAATTTTAAAACAGAGTCTCAAAAAGATATTTGTACACCCATATTTCTAGCAGCATTATTCACAATAGCTAAGATATGGAAGCAACCCAGGTGTCCATCAATGGATGAATGGATAAGTAATTGTGGTAAATATACACAATAGAATATTATTTAGCCTTGAAAAGGAAGGGAATTCTGCAATATGCCTAAGAACATTAAGCAAAGTGAAATAAGCCATTTACAAAAAAAAGAAAATACTGTTTGATTCCACTTATATGAGGTACTTACTAGTAAAGTAGTCAAAAATCATTAAAAACCCCAGAATGGGAAACGGGGGGGTGGGGGGGGAAGAATGTGGAGTTATTGTTTAATAGATATATAGGGTTGGTTTCTTTTTGCAAGATGAAAAGAGTTATGGGGATGGATGGTGGTGATGGTCTCACAACAGTGTGAGTGTACTTAGTATCACTGAACTGTGTACTTAAAGATGACGAGGCAGTAAATTTTATGTGAAGTGCATTTTACCACAGTAAAAATGCAAAAGCAAAACAAACAACAAAAAACCTGCCTAGCACCATATCTGGGACAGGGAATATAATAAATAAGTGTCCATTGTACTCCCTTCCCCCAAGAAAATAAGAAAGAGAGAAATAGGTAGGCTCCTGAAAGGGGGCAGGCATTGGGGGACATCTGAAGGAAGGGAGACTAGACGTGGCGGAAGGAACTGCAAGTGAGTCCCCAGCGCCTGTCCAAGGCCAGTGAACAGGACTTGCTTTCGGTTTCAGCCTCATTTCAACTGATTTAAATAAGCAGCCCCACCTAGCTGAATCTGAAAGGTGACTAATTCCTATGCCTGACTACCTTCTATTTGGGGAGTCAGAACCCTTGGTAAAGCAGATAAATTCCTTGCCCCAGTGGCCTTTTGAGAGCAGAAGGAGTTATAGGTACATACTTGCAATTCTGTCTCTAATAACGTACAGCCTCGTACATTGGCCTGACTGATTAGCATGACACTTACCTAAGAGCATCTAAGGGGTTTTGCTTAGGTACCTCTAGGCCCCTTTGTACAGTCTGGCATCTGTTTCTCCCTATTTTAGTAGGCATAGGATCTATCCCAGTCTCTAATGATTCACCCCAGAATCTTGGATGTGGCTAAAAGTCACCAATTGAAAATATTGCTAAAATAGTAAAAGCGAACGCTAAGTATAAACACAAATTGACTCATTTATTCCTCACAATAACTCCACTGTGGGGAGCCGATATAGGATTAAGCCTCGGACTGACCTGTTGGCAAAGTCACAAACAAGTCCCAGCTTAGAGGGCACAGTCCTCCTAGCATATTTAGCCTTGACCTTATGACGCTCCCTAGATCTTATCTGGGAAGCTAATGGGCTGAGGGAAGTGCAGCAAGAACAAAAACAAGTGAAACTCACAAGAACAGTGTAACTATGGAAAACACTACCTTGTTTACCTCTGACTATAAAATAAAGGCTCAGTTTGCCTCGAGATCTTTCTCTGTGGTCTCAGCCAGGCACAGGAAAATCCACGGAGACTAAAGAGAGCTAGAGAGTTCTGAACGCTGTCTCCATGTAAAACATTCTTCACAGACTCGGTCCACACCTTTGGGAACCCCTGGACCGCTGGGGCTGGACCCCGGCAACTCCACCACAGGTAGGTAGCCCTATTATCCACAACCGCGTTTTACAGATGAGAAAATAAAGGCAGAAAGAGACTGAGGAACTTGCCAGAGATCACACAGGTGGGAAGTGGCAGGGTCAGGATGGGAAGGGAGCATTCTGACTCCAGGGACTTGCTGTCACTCCCTGTATCACACCACAGACATGCTGCTCAGGCAACTGGAACTCACTTGCATAGTTTCGGATAAAACACAAGGAGGACTCATTCAATGTTCGCAGTTGAAAACCGTGACAGAACCTGCAGGGAGGAATTGTTTGTGCTGTCTTAATAATTACCACCTCCCAGATGTGAGCCAAACCTTTCCCTCTACAAAACTCAAAATCCGAGTTTGATAAAATGTTTCCCAAAGGTCCTTTAGCAGTGCCACTGGGAAACTTAGCTACAGTTTGATTTCTTCTTGAAACTGTTTTCCTACTACGTAGGAATATTTGCAATAAATTATTGACTGTACTCTCAATCCCATGCAGAGAAAGTCAAAGTAATATGTATGATAAGCAAGATAAAATAATCTCAAATAGCATTTTCTAGTTATAATGTATAGAAATTATCTCTGGAGGACTACATTTTCTGCACATGCCAAACAATAGGAGGTCACTAAGAATCATGTGAAATAAGAAGATGGGATTGAATTTATTTAG